ATAAAAATTGTTTGAAAGGGAGTAGTGGAAATGACGTACAACACCAAAAACCGGAAAAGAAAAAATAATAAGGATAAAAAAAAGATACATTGTATAAAACTACATGCTGCAAGCAGTCTGGCAAAGTCTCCTCCAATCCACTCACAACACAAAGGATATGACAACTCATACCGATATCGGTGAAATAATTGGTTAGTGCGGGCATAACTTGACGCTTGAGGCATCATTTAGCCCGGGAGGTACTCAATAAATGTTTATACGGGGAGACTCCGCCCCGAGGTCCAACCCCTTACCCCTTATACCATTTTTTCACGAAAAAGGTACCTCTTTCGTATAACTTCTATAGATCTACTGACAAATGGTACCCCTTTCACATACCTTGTTCAGAACTTTGCGCCTATTTTAACTAATGTAAATGCACTGTCGTTTAAATAGGAACCAGTGACAAAAAGAGAACGTTTTCTCAACTTTATAAAGCCATAAAATTCATCTGTTAGTCCTTTGGGTCATTTGGCAGACCCAAATGACAGACTTCCCTACCCTTTCGTATACTTCAACGAGTAAAATTTCTATCCTTTTATATACATAAAGCCTGGCAACAACAACAACAACAACAAATTTTATTGAAAATTGGAAAATAACTAATTACATTACTTTCCCACCCGCAAATAGCTTATAAACTAATCGAGGCGGGGGGAGCTGAAGACATATTACAAAACAAGATACATAGATGGACTAAATCAGTAACAGTGAAGACACTACTATACATTAAATAGAATTTAAACTAACATAAAACAAGGCAAGTACATAACGATTACGAAGAGAGGCTAACCTAAAGTATTAAATAACTTAATAAGACGGGAGACCTCGACATTTATTATATACATACTGAGAAATACTCACCAAAAAGCTATGTCGTAAATTTTCGTACGCAAATTAGTTATAGCCAATCAGAGGAGCGAACGATGGTTTTCACACGTGAAAAAAACGATACGTCCAATCAGAATCGCGAACGATGTTTTTTCACGTGTGAGAAAAATGATACGTCCAATCAGAAGCCACAGAGGTGTGCGAGTTTCGCGCCAAAATTCCCGCCTTTTATTGCAGCTTGCAGCGCCGCTTCGCACACATTTATCAACGAGAAAAGTTTTACTCAAGGAGTTTTTCTCGCTAAAAAGTGAAAAAACATTTCGGAAATGGAGTGGAATAGTTTCGTTTGTTTCACTGTCGATAAAAAAATACGGTAGAGAGCCGGCGAAACAACAGCGGAAAGGGATAAACAGAACGAGACGTAAGCTTTTGTTGTGCTTTTTGTCGGAGCTACTTTGCCTTTCATTTAAGCTTAAGCTTATATTGAAACCGGCCATTTTACTTAAATTCACTCATTTTCAATTGTGCATTGAGAACAAACAGTTAAGATTACTTATAGTTCTTGGATTAAACCTCATATCCTCACCGTCATTTATGTTTTTAACAAACGTTTTTACTAAAAAGCTGATACTTCGTTTTCGTTGTCATTTTGCGGTAAGTGTGTAGCGGCAAATTTTAGCATTTTTGAAAGATTTAAAATAAAAAGGCCCGCAAAATGATGAATGACTCAGTATGTATATAATAAACACAATACCACATGGAAAGTGCTTTGTACGGTATTTACGCACTCGTTGTTTTTGTATCAGAAATCTTACTCGTTCGCTGCGCTCACTCGTTCGATTTCTGATACGTCAACAACTCGTGCGTAAATACCGTACGCCAGCACTTTCCATGAAGTATTCTCTATAATCATCTTCTGACCGCAAGAAATTTAGTAATAATTCCTTTATTTTTTTTACGAAAGGACTAACGTTTAAGTATTTTAATCGAATAAGGAATAGAGTTCCAAATTTGGGCACCGATTCTCGTGACAAAGGCATACATTTTATGAAAAAAGGTTTCCCTTTCGGGCGAAGTCTTCCCGCAGCTGTCCACGTACATGTATAGGCCATTATAGAGAGTACCGCCCCCCCCCCGGGTAGGACGACCAGTCTGTCATACATACAGGCTCCTGTCCATTACAGTTCATTGCCTTTGTTGAAAAAACGATCTGCATTCTAAAAAAAAAAAGAAAAGAAAATCACCACCGCAATAATTTATTTGAAATATTAAAATAAAAAACACCAATAAGGGTGAAGTTGATAATACAACTAAGGGGTAATAAATAGCATTATTTGTCACAGACAGTCATTTTTTTGTCACTGTTAACGATGTCATTTAACACCCTTCAACAAACTGCAGGGTTCAACAGCAGTATATATTAAAAATAAATCATAACATTGTGCTGAAGAGTTACAAAAAAAAGTAATAAAACAATTTTTTATTTAGTAGACACACTGAATTCTTCAAAGCTGATCGTACTACGTGAAAACTTTGCAAGACATCAACACGACACCGAAAGAATCAAAAACAGAGCGGGGTCGTAGCCGTAGACAGCTGTTTCACCCTTTTTGGGGCTCCTCAGTACGGCGCAACGAACAGAGAGTCTGACACTGCCGTAAAATTTCCGCACACTCTGTTTTAAAGCCCTGTCATGAACTCAAACACCCACAGAATCACACTCCATTTCACGTGTCCCCTAGTTATAGAGGGTAAGAGTCCAAGTGTCACGTTGATGTCTCACAAAGAAAATATAGGATGGACAAAACCAACCTTAGAAACATGGGCAAAACCATGCAAAAATGAACAGCATACCGGATCTATAAAAGACCGCCTGAACAATGTGCTCATAATGAACTCGAACTCGAGCTCGAATTCGGGATTCGATCGAGCCTGCGGCTTGTAATGAATGGATGTAAGATTGACTTTCCGTCCTGATCACCTCAGTCCGAGTTTCACTAGTACCATGAACACGCTTAGTCTAGTAACGTGCGAATACAGTCGTTATCTCTCCTCGCTCCACTTCGTCTTACTCTATCCAAATATTTCCAACCTTTACCGGAGTTGCACGAGTTAGTTCTGCAGTCAATCCCGAACTCTCTCCGTCCACGATCAAAAGCACACTGAGACGATCACTACAGCGAATAAAATTAAAAGAATTATGTGGATAAAAGTTACGTGAATACACAATTCAGGTTTGGATTTTTTCGTCACTTGGCTTTGCGAAAACTGGAAAATTACAGTTTGGCAATTTTTTGTAATATCCATCTTTATATAAAATTATAAATATCAAAATACAAGAGATGATACCTCGGAATGAACACCAAATGTCGAAAGCATAGATCAGAAGCTTATTGTGGTAATCTTTGTTCATTTTATTCAACGTTATAATTCAGTTTGCAGCCGGGAATCTGAATTATACTCCAACGTACTCCTAGTTTTCTCTTTTCTTTTTTCAATATTGCTTTTTAGAAAAGGAAAAGGTTATTGAAACTATATGTTCACTTCATTTGCTTTATTACTTCCCTAAATTTTTAATGATGGCGTGTTAAATATTGTAAAGATCGCTTCTTATGTACAAATACATGTAATTTTACATTTATTTATCCGATAAATATTAACCTGCCTATTTGACAAAGGCAGTAGTGAGGTTGCGGGGGAGGGGGGTATGAAAGGTCTCCCATAATTTAGGGGGTCTCGGGACATGCTTCCAATCCTTTCCTCCTTCGATCGTTAAAGAATTTGCTGTACCAAATTGATAGTCTCCCGTTCATAAATATAGGGTGCTTAAAAAATATTGATGGCGAGCAGGTAGCAAAACGTCACTGTAACTAAACGATTTCGCGTTTTTAAAAACTTTTCTGCGTTTATTCCAACTTGCTCAAAACGGCAAATGAACACTCCAGGTGAATTTCACTGGATTTGAATCTTTAGGGACCGTACCCAAGTTTGAACTGGGAAAGAAAAAATTAATAATCGTGTGTTAACTTTCATGTCCTCCAAATAACGTCGCATAAAAAGAATTCACTTTGTGGTCGTGTAGGGCCAATAAATGTACCAAAAAGCATGCTACACACGCAAAAATTTGTTGTTTAACTTTAAAACCTTTTGCTTTTTGGCGTTGTTCTTGTTGCAATCGTAAACTGTTGGGAATCCAAATGCGTTTTTAGAATGAAGGATTACGAAATGATCCGAATACCCTAAATAAAATAAGTCCGCCGGAATTCTGAATCGGGAATTTTTATGAATCCTGTAGTGTAACCGTAGTGCTTACACGAACAATCTAGTGGTATCTCAGACATTTATTTGCAAATGTGTGATTCTTTTCCCGTTATTTGCCACATTCGGCTTTTAACTGACGAAGAGGCCTACTTTGAAATTTTTTCTGTAGAATCCTTAGGGATGAAGCTTTAGTTTACCATTCATACATTTTTTAAAAACAGGTGTTTTACTGAAAGTATTCGACATAGATTCTCATACAAACACTGTAGTTTCTCAGGCGGTTGCCTACTCGTCAAGATGGCTTTAATTCTAAAACCAACCCAAGGTCTATCTCCAAGCAAGCGAGACTTCACGCTATTTAACAGCGTTCTCGTTCCTTCATGAAATAAGAACCTATTTAAGAACCTAAATATTAGCCTAATTTGGGTAAATTTAGAAGTGTAGCTATTGTTTTCGGACTTAAAATAATAACTACACGGGTACATAACACTTGCCTTGTAAAATTCTATTTTCACTACTGTAAAAGCATCAATTTACTTTTCAGACTCATTGTTGGTTTCTGCGAGTGGATGAGTCAGAGCTCTTCATCTCTCGTTAGATGTATTTCTTCATTCAACCGGAGTCAATTGATATTAGGGACCTTAAGATCCGACGACGGCGACGGCAGCGAAAACTTCGCTCAAAAAGTGAATTCGCGTTCTTTCAATCTTCATCGCGATTTCTCCAAGTCACTAACTTTGTCAGATGTAGGTGAACCCTCCTAAAATTGAATTCTTAAGAACCATATTCAAGTTCAGAAATAGAGAGGAATTTCGTAGTCGCTTGAGTACTTCCTCTGTAAAGCGTGAAATTAGGCATTTTCACGTCGTAGTCGTGCAGTGACGGCAAAGAAATGTACAAAAAAAGCATGATGCACGTGCAAAATTGTTGTTTTGGTTATTAAACCTATTGCTTTTTTGACGTCGTCGTTGCCGTCGCCGTTGTAGGATCTGAAGGCCCCTATTAATCATACATAAAACTACCCTCCCTCGCAGACTTAGGGCTTCATCGCGTGTTCTGGGCCGGTAACGCGCAACGAAGTCCCAGGATTAAACCACTTTCTCAATTCACTTAGACATCGAAAATGCTTCTAACGCTGAGTCTGTGGGAGAAAGCCTAATGGAGAATCTATCTTTTCTCAATATTTGACATAGACTACGGGTCAATCTTGTACCTCAAAGTCTTCGTCCCTTACTGGGCATGCTGGCTTGACAAGACGCTGGTCAAGGGGAACGAAGACGCTAAGCACGCGGGAGACTACAAGTAGTCCCTCATTTTCCTGGAGAATAGTTAAGTGTGCGAAATTCTCACGCACGCGCAGTTCTTTGCGTCACTGCCCGACTGCGGCGTGAATTGCCTATTTCCACGTTTTATCGACAACGTGAAGGCATTAGTACGACGACAAATATTTCTGTCTCTTTTAAACTTAAATATCTTTCTTAAGAATTAAACTCCAGGGAAGTTCGCCTACATTGGACAAAGTGAGAGAGTTACGATAATCGCGCTGAGATTTCAGAAGAAGACACTTTTAAGTGACGTTTGCGCCGCAATCGCCGTCGTGGTATCTTAAACTCCCTATTGCCGCATGCGAGGAGAGGCAAGACGCAGAAGAAAGATTTACCATCCTTACGGTTGGCAATTCTCAAACGCGCTCGCACTGGGATTTTGCTTGCTCTACTATTCATTATAAGAATGACGGAATTCCTTGGCAAATAGCCTAAGGACTAAAGACTGAACACAGCTGTGAACATTTGATCTAAGAAATCAGCATGTTACATTACAATGTAAGTAATGGTAACAGGACTGAGTGGAGTCCAATTCGGTCTGTAATCATACGAATGATTAACAAAATCGGACGACCGCGTAGCGGGAGTCCGATTTGTTTAATCACGAGTATGATTACAGACTGAATTGGACGACACGAAGTTCTGTTACCAATCAATCATAACTGTAACAAAATTTGTGATATGTAAGCCCTTTTTTAAACCAAAACAGAAGAAATTCCATTTTTTTTAATGCTAGTAGTGAAAAAAAGCCATTTAAGCGCGCGCCTGATGGCGCGTACTGTCTAATTACTTAGGCATGACGCGTACTGTCCTATTAAATTGTCCAATTAAGGCTGAAATCAGGGCAGTTGATAGCCAATCAGATTTGAGAATTTTGTTATAGTTATGATAAATTGAAAAATAGCTAAAAATTAATACTGATTTCTTTTCGTGAAACGAATCTCCAACTTTGTTTTCTTTCTTGGCCAGTCCATGCAGGCTCTAAAGCCGAGGAAACCTGAGGACTTTTGTATTCCTAAAAATGGTGATCTTCAAAATATCTAAGCGCTTCATTTTAACAACTCGTCACTTATATAATAAACTTCAGTTGCATTCCTGTGTTATCTTGAGTACCATCGGTGATAACGAATAGGCTGATCTTGAGTCTTGGGTTGAGATTGAGCTGAAGACAAACAAGAGGATTTATTTAATAAATAAAATACAAACAAGTAAAAAGCAAGTGTACTTTTGACTTTTTAATTCCCAGATAACGCGGATGTGTCTTTCAGCTGATGCCACTAGCAATAAGCTTCTCAAATAAAGAGAAAACAAACACACAAACAAAGCAGTAACTGAACATAGAGTAAACAGAAGTCTGAAAAGGCTTTCAAAATTCCTACCTTTAGAGACGTTTTCGCTCGTCGGTGTAGACGGCTTCCAGATCCATCGGATCTAATGAAAGCAAAATACTTTGCGTTAGAGGCGTTGCTAAGATTAACCATGATTAAAGATGAAGTGCTTCTGTCGAATTAAAACTGAAAATCGCCTCATGTAAGATAATCCGGATTCGGAAATGAAGGAAATTAAATTTTTGCTTGTGGAATCTGGAATCCAGGGCTTTGGAATCCGTGGTTCAACGCAATGAAACTGGAATCCCGCAAACGTACAGTAATTTTCAAGGAGTTATAATAACTCCTCTAGTGGGGTTAATTTAACTCTTTTTCAGGAGTAAAAATCACCCCAGATATTGAGGAGTTAAAATAACCCCCCAAAAAGGAGTTATCCTGTGCCTAAAATTTTACTCCACTCTTAGAGTTAAAGTAACTCCAAAAAGAGTGAAAACAACCCATGTAAGGAGCAAAAATGACCCCAGTTTTGGAGTTATTTTAACTCCAGAATGGGAGTTAAAAGAATTCTTTTTCAGGAGTAAAATAATGACCCCAAATTTGAAGTTTAGGAATTAACTCAATCCCATAAAAGGGGTCATCCTGTACCTAAAATTTTTACTCCATTTTTGGAGTTATGATAACTCCCTAAAAAAAACTGTGCAATTGGAATCCAGAATCCAAGTTCCACTGACAAATACTAGAATCCAGTACCTGGAATCTGGAATCCACTGTGCAGAAATCCAGAATCCAAGATTGCCTTGGATTACCTTACATGGGGAGAAAACTAACAAACAATCAGAGTGACTTAAACTCACCCCATCTGGATAATTGTAAGAATTCACCATTGTTGGTTGTGGGTTGTTTCTCCGGTGTCGTGAGTATGGGATCACAAATGCGGTGCTGAAGGGCTGTCTCTGCTGGAAATGCTGTTGATATGTACTGGAACCAAACTTGTACTTAATGGGAGCATAATTAGCTGTAGAAACCCTGAAAAAAAATTGTATCTGTTAAAAATGCACCAAACTAAACCCTCATTACCTGATAGGCACACAACAAAGTACTTTGTGACCAACTTGACAGGTGGGAAGAGGGGAGGGAGGGGAGGGACGAGGTAAAACACCCAAAGGCTGGAAAAAAGGGGGGCAACAGTGTGAACCTCAATTAATACCTGACCCCTGGACCTGACCTCCTCTCAGTGGAAGACATAGTACAGTAAAAATCTTTACAGCCCTGTTACAATTGGAGTGAAAAGCAGATCTTTTAGTGAGAAAAATGTCTCCCCACAGTCCCTACCATGACCTTGCAAGTACGATGGCTTCCGGACAAACAGGACAAATGAAAAATTGTCTTTTTGTAGCAAACTCACAGCAATTGTCGCTGGTCCTCAGTTTGAATGCTTTTACCTTTTGCCAGTTTGATTCCCAGCGCAAGCCGGTGGTTTCACCCTGTAATGAACGAAGTGAGTTCCCCAGGGGAGGTACTCCCTTATATGGCCTATACGGGTATGTGCTGCCCTGCTTGACAAGGTATGGTTTTTTACCTCTCTGTCCTAAGCAGGATATATAATTTCATGGGAGTCTGCCCAAAACAGGGCAATAATTTTGTGCGAGTCTGTTCTAATTATAAACAGTTCGAAAAGTGTCTGTAATCCAAGCATAAAAAAGTAATGACTATAACGTGATGAATTTGCTCTATTGCAATTGCCAGTAATGGCTTAAAAACAAGATGGCGTTCATTTTGTCCTTTGTCCTAAAAAGTGTAATATAACTAAGTTTGTTGTCCTAAACAGGGCATGTATTTTAGAATTTTTTGTCCTAAAAGGGTTAGGATTTCAAACCCTCAGCGGCTCACCTATACCCAAACATTGGACAAGGACTCCCTCTCCCCAAATTGAGTTTGCCGACCCGGCCCGGAAGTAGAGTTCGCCACATGAATTTCAAAAGAACGATTTTTAAAAACAGGATCGGACAAGCGTGGACAGTTTGTTATACTGAAGTTATACAAGCTCAGAACTTATTTTTCGTGAAAATCAAGCCTGCGAGTAAGCTCTGTATTTCAATTGGGAAGCGAAGTCACAAATGTACGCGAGTGCGCGACAATCAGCTTTCGCGTGCCGCTCGCGCGTGACTTTTAATAGGTAAGGCTTGCACGAAGGCTAATGAATACTCTGTCGTCCCAATAAGCTACGATTGGGTCTCCAAGGGCGTACTTTCAAAATATAGTGAAAAATTACTAATAGATTCCTCCTTCTTCGGTTTCTCTTGTCAAATGGAACGTTTTTCAAAAAACGTGACAACAGAAGTTCTTTTACGTTACCATAGCGACCAATACGGGAAGAATTATCCCTCTCGGACTTTTTTATTGAGATAATAAAACATTTTACCTGTCTGGTAAAGGAGGAGGCGCGTATCTTCCTTCAAAATCAGCGTTATACTTCGTGTTGTACATGTAGCTGAAAGAGTAAGGCTTGAAAGCCGGCTGATAGAGAGCTGAAAGTGAAGTTAATCGCAAACCAGGTCTATCGAACGGTGTCCTTTGCGCATCTGTCGGACAAAACAAATATTATTATTAAACTTATTGACTTCTCGAAGTCTCTTCTAAGAAGGAACTTGCAGAAATATCGCAGAAAACTCTAATAAGTATATTTACTGGTAGGCGGCCGTGCTTGATCGTGCCGTGTTGCCGAATGCGATGTTGTGTTCGGACGCTGCTCATTTGTTGTTTGTGGACGCCAAGATTGCCTCGAAGTTGAGTAGTTCTCAGAAGTTTCTTTCATGACGAAGAGAAGTATTGAAGCCTAATTCATTTTGCTCAGTATCTTGAAAGATTATTCTAAGAAGGAGATGAAACTAGTCCGAGTTTTTCGCCATCTGCTTGACAACAAATGAATGCAGTATTATACTAAGTCTGAGACAAACCGAATGCTAATGTCACATGTGTGACTGGTATTGTTTATACGTCAGTCACGCAACACGTCACATATCATAAATATCATTTCATTATATTTTCTTTCGCCACTCATAGACTATCTTTCTTTCATAAACTGAAGATTACATGAAGTTTATAAATATCTAAGGTAGTAAGATTAAAAAATGCAGAAAATGACAGATTTTGGAGAATAAAAAAAAATGTTTGAGTACTAGTTTTGAGAATATAAACCCGTTATTAAATGTTTACGCAAACTGTTTCATCTATTACACATGTGTGCCGCCAAAAAGAAAGCTTTGCGTGACATATAACGTTATTGGAAGGGTTTACAGTGTTAAAAGAGACTATGATGCTGCGCCGGTTGGAGGAATGAAACACATTAGACCTTGTCACGGTTTTCGACGCCATCATGACGAGTAGGCAAACGCGTGAGAAATTACAGTGTTTGTATGAGAATCTAATGTCGAAAAATTTCCGTAGAACGGCTGTTCTGAAAAAAAGAATGAATTGTAAACTAAAACTTCAGTCCTAAGGATTCTTATGGGAAAAAATTAGGACGTTACATGCCTTAGAAGACCTAGAACCACTTTTTAAAATTTTATATACATTTGTCTCTAAGAAAGTCCCGGGAAAAATTACAGACAAATGTATGGAAAATCTAAAGCATGCTAAAGCGAGTCTCTGGAGAAATGTAGGCACAGGTAGGCCCCCCAATTTTTTTAGTACAATTCTTTGTTTTGTAGCTTTAGTTTACGAGTCATATTTTTTCAGAACAGCCGTTTTACGGAAATTATTCGACACTGTAATTCCTCATCACATGTTTGCCTACTCGTCAAAATGGCGTCGAAAACCGTGTGAGAAGGTCTACTTTATCAACATTCTAAGATTTCAAAAAATGGACATCATCAGTGCGTTGCAGTCCTAAATAACAAAGGGGTGAGGGGAGGGAGAGACTTGATTTCATTTGATTTATTTATTTGTTTTTGTCCGTGATTACAGGATAAATATACCGAAAATATACGGTTGAAAAAAATGGTGACGGAAGAGCCTGAACTGGAAGCCTGGGGCTTATATGGGGTCCAGGCTCCCCATGGATTAAGCAGACAAACGGCATTAGAGAAACACGGCCCGACTTTACAAAATAAACTAATATACAGGGAAAAAAAAGAATAATACAACTTAATTACACATTACTTACAAAAAAGGAGGGTTTGTAAGGAACTACATGTAGAATATTTCAATAAAAGTTCAAATTTAACTTATTTAAGGAGAAAATCTATATTTGCCAGTAGGGAGTTTCAAAAGAGTTGGCCTTGGTAGTAATAAGTTGAGGTTGCACGAAATTTTGAGGTCGAAGGCCCTGAGCAAATCGACTTCCAAGGCCGAGGATGTGAAAAGATTGTTGAAGGTCGAAGGCAATAGATTGCTAGGTGGTTCATACGATGACAACATGAAATACAGCTGGAAATACCGGTTTGTAAAGAATTGATCTCGAAGAAGAAGAAGTTTTTAAAGCTACTGTAGGTTCCGAAGGAGCTCGATTATGACATATTGAAAACTGAAAATGACTACATAGAAATTGACCATCTTTAGTTTGTAATGTATTGTATTCCTCATGTTACTATTTCTTATTTATTTAACTTTATGTATTTTACTATCTTTTTTTCCCTTTAGAATACTATATGAATGCGTTTGAATTTATAATCAGACCTGCCTCGATTAGCTATGCTATCTGCGGGTCGGTCTAAACTGTAATTTAAATCACTTTAAAGAAATAAACTTTGTTGTTGTTTGTTGTTACGTCAGGTGAATGAGTTTCTGCAAAAGAATGAGCCGATGTAAATCAGTCAGTTTAAGTAGCTTTAAGTGGAAGAACACGTGATAGTAAGGGGAGAGAAGAGATTTGTTAGGAATGAAGTCACTTTGCGAGTATAAATTATACCAATTGTTGTATTGGTTATCCTAGAAGATAGCCTCAAATCTTTCTGATATTGCGGCCTAACCGATAACAATAAGATGTTCCACCCAAAATTTGCGGAA